AAACTGAAACTCTGCCCGTTGGACATCTCAGAGAAAGCTACGTATCACAAGTAGTGCAGCTGCAAACGTCCTAAAGAAACTGAACACCGATCCCGCAAAATGGATTCGCAACCATGTTCACCCACGCTTCACAGGTAATGCAGCAACAACCGCAGCCAGTATTTACTATACCCAGGTGGAAATTGCAATGTTTTGCTCAGGACGAACAAGGTGCAAGTTTCTTGTTTGGGGTTCTAATGACTATACGATTGCTGATGTTTCACTCTGAGTTTCAATCTGAGCCCTGAAAAATACATTAAGGGACAAGGTCTTGACATGTACAGTAATTATAAACACTGACTCAGCATGCAACTCAACATGTTATTATTTCCATTAATAAGAAATAAATATAAAAAATGATAAAAAACTGTGAGAACTATTCAAAGTTTACTTGTAGTAACAAATTAACTAATTTGTATAATCTGCTTCCATTTCATCAGAAGCTTGGCAGACTTTTTTTTTTTTCGTTTGGAGACCGGTGCATTTAGTAAGGTTGTTTGGAGGGGGTTACTCACATTAAAGTGCTATATGTATATGTGCCGCCAAAAGGGGTCCCAAATTTACCACTTCTGTCTGAAAAGGGGTATGTTATTTTACCCTGTCTGTATCTTATGGTCATTATTTCTGTCTGAAAAAAGGACCATATTTTCCAAAGACTGTCTCTAGAGCTTGAGTGATCCAAAAATCAGGAAAATTAAGCTGATTTTTTCTTTCTGTAACTTCATTTCGGTCGTCAACTTTTTTTATATCCCCGGGAGTCCATCTAGGTAAATAAAAATAGCTGACCACCCACCCCCATTTCCCGGAATAAATAAACCTGAAACGGATATAGATCCTCTGATTCGCTATTTACCATTTATGCGTACTGAAAAGGGGTAGGCAATTTGAGTTTATTTCTTTCTGATAAGGGGTAGGTGTTTCAAACAACCAGCTACACATCTCTGTCAGTATTTTTGCAAGTACCCCCCTCCCGGGGGTTGCCTGCATTCGCACTCAACATGTGTCTTTGGTGAATGGATTTGGCACGTAGTTTGTTTCCATTTTTTAAAGTTTTTTATCGCTGTTCGTGCATCCTAGAAACTTACAGTTTTTTCTGACCCTCCCATGATCATAAAAACATTGAAACTATAACACTAGTTAAAATTATGGTATAAAATTTTGATCAAAACAACATTACACTGACGAAAAATTTCCACTTCATTATCGATTCACGCTGCCCCCCCGGTAATGGCGGCCGTGAGCGCGCCGCCTACGGCGAAGGGGTAATTCATCTGCTTCTCGGATTCGTCTATAGTTCGTCATACGCACGCGCGAAAATTAAGTACCAAGCGACGATAACAACACACGCTAAACGCAAAGTCTCATGGGTAGACGCTTGTATGTAAACAATGACACGCTATGGCCATCTGACGCAGGTGACGAGTTTCCCGTTTAGATTCATTCTACCAACAAGGACATCGTTAAACCATCTTATTTCATGGGATTTATGTACGAACAAAATGGCGACTATCACTTAATAAACCTTTCACGTAAACGACTGTCGATTGGTCATTCAGAGAATGCTAGTTTCGTGCCTTCTTTTGTCCCGCAATTCTACACGCGTCGTTTGTTCAAAATTTCACCATGATGGTGGCATATGTCGGGTGCGGTTTGAATGGAACACTGTTTATAGGGGAATATGCATAGGTATGTTAGTGAGTGCAAATCAACCACAACGATATTACAACATAATACAAATTTCTGAAATTTCAGTAAAAATAGTTGATAGTAGGAGTGTTTAACTCACTGTCGGCTTGACATCAGAAATGAAAGGATTTGTATTTTCTTCACCGTCGCTTACAAGTAGAATACAACCGCCAGACGGGTCACTGCCATTTTCTTCCAAAACCTCAATAGCTTTAGAAATTCCTATGACAAATTGTTATAAATTAATTGCTTGGATATAGCTTGAAAAAGTACAATTACTTACGCATACCTAATCAATAATAGGGCCCTCTAACGGCAAAAAGTTTCGATGACACCAATATGAGGTAAGCAATGTAGTACAGTGTGTAGGCAGTAATTAAGTAATTAGTTGTTGTCTAGAATATAACACACTTATATGTAGAGAAAGGCGTTCCGTGCATCCTTTAACATCATTAGACGCGACGTATCGCTAGAGGGCGCGATTTATAAACACAATTAAGTAAATAAATAAATAAATACCATGCAGTCACGACATACCCTGCATTGTATCATATCACTTAATAGATCATGATATATGGACACAATTCCCGATACTTCGATCTATGTCATCGGAGATTAAGTTACTCACCGCCGCCTATACTAGTGGCCCCATCAGTGTCGTCACTTGTAGGAATAAGAAGTAAGAGCTCTTCTCTTGTAGTATCGGAAATTACTACGAGCTGTGACTTAATAGTGGCCATGAAATTGAATACAACTAAACCAAGCTCCTCGCCATCATCGATGATATTTAAAATGTAATTACTAACGGCCTGTATGAGACAAAACAGATTTTAAAGAACGGAATAACACATAATACTATAACAGCTCAAATTTGGCCATAGTTCCATACACGAAAGCCGCAACACCATGCAACTAATTATTGAGTTATTTACGCATACAACCCACCTGTCTCAGCTTATCTAATCTAAGGAACTCGTTCATGCTATCCGATATATCTAATACCAATACAGTTCGTTTGTTTCTTTGTTTAACAACGTGGAAATCTGGTACTGTATAAGCCTTTTCCCGCGTTGGATTGACCCCACCAGCGAAATCAACATGCTCTCGCATCACCTAATCAAAAATGAAATGCAAGCATGTGTATGACTCAGCTGGCTGTAATTTGTGAATATTGGTAACGATTTTAGGAACATAAGGTGAAACTTAATCTCTTAATCTCATAGTTTGATCAAACAAATAAAACCTCCTAGCTAATATTCATCATCTGAATAAAACTCACGCATCACTAAATGTATGTGTATGTTACGTGGTAATTCCTTACCTCCCAAACGCTTTTCTCGTTGCATAATCTGTTATGTTTGCTCGGGGACTGATAGTTGTGCACACTCCCCGGCGTACTTGCCATGGCGTCGTTGTCACAAAAATGAGCCAGCTGGGAATCACACAATACATGCATTTAAAATCTAGTAGTTAACAATCTGTGTTTTCTAGAGGGCGCCATTGACCTGCAGATCCCATCGGTGAAAATGTTATGCGACTGTACAAAGAATATTGTTTGAGTCTGCCAGTCTTGAGACATGCTTTATCTTCTCATAGTAAAAATAGTGGCAACAATTTACTATCCGCAATAGTTTATCATTATACAATGTTATATGTACGACATTCTGAAGTTAATACATCCCGGTGTTTTATTGAAGTAGACATAAATAAGGATATCTAAGTTATTATATTCAAATAAAATTCAACAAGACACATTCAGAACATGCAATTATTTGAGTGAGACTATGTGTCCAATACAGAAAACGCTTTACCTGGTTTTAATTTAATTGGGTTTCCCTTTCAAACTGCATATGCTATCAATCATACAGCAAATTTAAGTGTACATTGTCGTTTAATGAAGTTATACATAGATAGTTGTAAATTTCAAGTATGGCCAGTTTTCCTTATACATAGAAATGCATAGATGACCATTTCTGCAAATTTACTGCGTGAGCTAATTTATGTAATGCATTGAAACGTATAGATGGCCAAGGCTATAAATTCACAGTATAAGGTAATTAATTGTATGGAATGAAAAGGCGATGGTGGTAAGTGATAGCATAATTTACAATTGTGTGTACTTTCATTCAGTGCACATTATATTAGAACCAGGGTATTTGCAATCGTTTCTAATATTCTTCGCCTCAGAGACCTGTCACCATATTTTTGTCTTGGCTGTATGAGATTAAAAGCAGAACTTTTGGATGGTAAGGATCCATATAACCCAAATACAAATCGCCAGAATGTGTATCTAGTATTTACTCACTTGTGGGAGATATTGGCGGTACATGAGTGATGCCGTTGTTTCCGATGTGTTCTTGAAATCGTAAAATCGACAGTCCGGCTCTGGTAAATTATGCAAGATGGCACAATCATTGAGAGTCGCCTTATTAAACGTGATGCCTATTGAAGCAAATGGATCAAACAATTGCAGTTATATTGTGGTAACAAGTATTATTTGCAAATTGTGCGATACTTGTTTAGACTGTGGAGAGGACGTCGTCAAGCTAATATAATAAAAAAAGCCGGACAAATGTAATGAACAACTTGTTATACTCTCACCAGTTATCTGTGCGGAACACCGCGTGGCTTCTATTTCTCCGTTCAAACCTGCATAGAAGTATGGGGTGTCCCCACCTGGATATTCGTCGTACACGCCCCATCGTAGATGTGCCCATTCATGTACTATAGTCTGCAAAAGGAGAGATCTGACGGTTATGCGAAGCACAGGATTGATTTCGTAATCATGTGCGCCCACCAACAATAGTCACAAATTAAAAAAAGAACAGTACTCATTTCGCTTCACCGTTTATAGCAATACTTATCATAAGTAAATAATTATTTTCGATTTCTCACAATGATCAATAGAGTTAATCATGCAAAACAAAAAAGTTGCCCATCCCCCAGTCACGATGTTTTTTCCCCCGAGCCATATGATCAATTGTCCTCTCGATACGCTTCAACGCTTTCACGACTGCCCACTAGACAATAGTTGTGAACATTGCATTGTTCAAAAGACATCTACTTTATTACACTCACTGACATCAATGAATTGCGTAATTAGTTTCAAGAGATACATCATTCAGTGAACAACACTATTATGGTGAAAGCATATTACTTGATCGGTCGCTCATCTATTTACCGTTTTACCCACCTTTTCATACGGCCCATACGCACGTGCAATACTGTCGTTCTTCATATACCCAGCTGTCAAGTGCATGTAGTCAGATGTCTCCCCACAGGGGGTAGTCTTATAAACGTAAGGGCCATGAGCATTCCCGGTACCAATTCTAATGTCGCTCTTGTAGAAGCTTTGAAATTCGGGTACTGCATATTGCGGGTGGTTTTTCCATGATTTGGGGACGAGTATAGATATGTTCTTGAAAAAGGCACGTTTTCTAAATGACAAAACATAAAGTAGTTGGTGTCAGAGTTGACAAAGTGGCCATACTATAAAATATTTACAAATATGTTGAAAGACTTCGAGACTTCTTGCTTAAACGTCTGTTCTGACGGTTGTTGGGTTATTTTTCGCCACGAAACCCATTGCGATACTGGCGATATAACAACAAAACTGATACTACTCTCTATTCACAAAAAAAAAATGATTGAACTAGGTGTGTACTTTAATATTCCGTTCGAGAGAGAGATATTCGAGTCTGTAACTCGGGGTAAAATGGGTGATAAATGTGATCTACGAGCCGTGGAAAATACCCTTGATGAGTTTCGGCGTTTATGTGGCGACTCCCTCTTACAATGTTTTTGTTCAAACTTTATTGTCCGTTATTCATTAGAAACAGACTGTAACACAGTGTTGTTGTGTTTTGGTCTTTGTTCTGCTCTGACGTTCTTGTTTGTTCACTCTAAACTAGGTCACAGTATAATTAGCTGATTTGACGTCTTATGTTATCAGAATGTAAAGCCAATAATTTTCTGTTCAACGACGATACTATCACAACGACAGTATAAATAATAAAATATGTGATATTTGAAATCACGAATATTAAATTCTAGCCAAATTTAATAAGCCAGATAAAATAAGCCAAATTAAAGAATATTTAAATCAACATATAGTGCAAATATAGTTGTGGCGTGTATACGGTGTATGTTATATATAGCAAACGATATGCGACTTTTGTTTAAGATGGGCTAAAGCGGGAGGGTCGTCAACTGCGCACGCGCTGGAATTGAGTCCCGATTGAGCGACGGTAACAAAACACGCTAAGAACATAAAGGCTCATGGGTAGACGCTTGTTTGTAAGCAATGGCACGCTATCGCCATCTGACGCATGCGCAGGCGACGACTCCCCCGCTTTAATATTTGCGGTGACTACAACCTGATCGTGCGTTGTAAAAAACAATGCAGTTCCAGTGTATCATGACAAATGTGCAATTGAAATTAAATTGAAAAGAAGTATTATAAGATTGTGTGTGTTTGTACAGTACAGTGTTGGCAATGAGCAGTAGAACTGCATGCTTGGACAGCTATATTTCGTGTGTCACAGTAGTAATCATTTTAACTATCGTGTTAAGTGATGAATACATTAAGAGTAAATGAGGTTGTTTATTGTGTTGTTGATTTCCTGATTATGTACGTGTGGGTGTAAAAAACGACGGACAGTATAAAGTGATCGCTGAAGTTGTTTAAGGTTTAAGTTTTATAACCCAGCATACATATTCTAAAAATCAATCGCTGAAACGCATGAAAATAAAATCGTATATCAAACTATTATTATAGTTCTTAACTATAGTTAACTTGAACTGTTTTTTGTGTTTTTCTAGGTGTCACAATGCCAATTTTATCAGTATAGTGACAGTTAATGTTATATTTTAGAAACAATTATGTTTCATTGTTGGTTGCTATGGGCGTTGGCTTGGTCGACAGATACACGTTCA